TTGTTTTAGATGCTGACACGTATCTTCAGATACTTGACTTCAGAAAAGCTAATTAGGTCATTCCTTAGATGTCAACTATAACAGATGCATAAAAACTAAAAATATTTTAAAACTTTAAAAACGTAGTTCACTGTCTATGTATTTAATGCATAACTTTTCAGGTCAGCTGTCTGTGGTCTAGCTTTTAGGTTTGTTAAAGGCATTTTAAGGCATGACCTCTCAGACTGTGCACACACTCAAATAACCATTACAGCCATTTGTTACCGTGTTTTGTAGGGCCTTTACACGTGCTGCAGCCCTCAGGTTAAGGCCTTGCATAACTGTTCAGGTGCTGTTTTCATCTGTGTTTCAAAAGCACGTGAAAATCATGGCAACTCACGTGTTGATTTGTGCATGAGCAGAGTTGGCTACTCATTCCTCAGTCAGGGTTGCCAGAGCAACCTGAACTTTGGAATTTCCTCAGTTTTGAGTGCTTAACCTCGCCAGAGGTCATTGGAGCTATTTGGGCTACTGTTCCAAAATACGCTCTCACTATCCTAAGCATACTTTCTCACAGATAGTGGGGCTCTGAGCGCGGGATAGAGTGAAGACTCTGAATCCTGTTTGTAGGACTGATGGATTCCTTCTGTAAACAGGACAGTACTACAGAATCTTATGAAGCTGAGAGCACTGAGAACTTGTTTCCTAAACACTTGATGATCTTCTACAAAAAATAAGCCTTTCAAATTGTTTTGCCTAAGACAAAGTTTCCCTTTCAATGTCCAAGTCAAACTGATTTACTGACCAATTTGGTCTTTGACTTCCCTTGCCTTTCCAGAAAAACAACAAAATTAGAAGATTTCTTGAAAGTGAGAGTTTAAACTCGTTTGAAATGGATGAATATTTACAGTTTAACTATGCTACTTTAAATTCTTCATCTCTGACTGCAGATAAACAGTTCTGTGAGTTTAAAACAGCAAAAATACTGTCGTGTCCTCGACACCCACATCAGTTTACCAGAACTGCAGCACTGGATTGCACCTGTGCAAACCAAAATCCACCTATCATAGCTGTTTGTATTAGGTTTTGAGGAAGGATTGAAAAGAAACAAACATAAATAGCTGCAGATACAATATGTAGCAAAGAAAGGCAGTTAAATCATGATGGCCATAACCCCATGGGATTGAAAATCTGAAGCACAAAGCTTCTTTTGTGGTTTGTATGATGTGATCTGTTTTTCAGTACATGAGAGAGTCAGTTGTTTAACAGGCGAGCGAACCAATTTCTAAGACTTAAATTTAAACAAGTTTGAGATCTTCAAATTCAAGATTGTCTTGTCCACTATTTTAAGGCAATGAAATTGATTTGAGAGTCTTTTTAAAAGTCAAAATACTGTAATCTTTATAAAACAAATTGCCTTTATATCCTCACAAAATGAATGGTCTTTTTTCCCCTATGCTTACAGAGACTAATTTTTTTTCATGAAATAGTATTCATGTTACCAGTACTTTACTACTGCTTACTACAAGCAGTTATGAATTTTGTACTAAAAAGACGTATTTGTTGTACTTAGTACACTTAGTACTTAGTACTTAGACTACTGGTTACACTGGCCCTAAATACCTTCCTTTTTTATTTGTAATTTAAAAAAGTAAAGAGAGAAAGTTGATGCAGGTATTTTTTATTCTTTGTCTTTAATAAATGTGTTGACCCTGTTTTTCCTTTGCAACAGAGACTCAGCCTCAAAGCTCCATCATAACTGCATAATCCCTCTTACTTTTCTCACCAGCAGTAAGGCTGCTTAGCTTGTGTTTCTGGACAGGAGAGATCTTTTTGTTGTAGCTGTGTACGCAGTACCTAAATGTGCTGCACATCACAGCTCAGCGTCTGTAAGCATTTGGAAGGGAAAAGTTTGAGTAATTATGTACATCATTTACATGAGAAATTATAGGCAGTTCTTGAAAATTGTCTCAAAGATTCCACGTGTGATTGTACGTAGAGCTCAGTGGAAAAATCATCTGAGCTGCATGAAACTTGCATCTGAATGTGGTCATTAACGTTTCTAGGCTTGGAAATTTTTTCCTAGGGCTTCCTGCTAATCCAGCTTAATAGTTACTGTTCCCTGTAGTTAAAGATCTAAAAGCAGAGATTTGAGGAGAAGTTAATGTAAGCTATGATTCAAAACATACCATTTGTGATGTATTTTGCATTACAGTATTAGAAGAAAGGATTGTGTGAGCTACCTCTTCACTCATTTGACAGAAGGCTTAGGAACGAGGACGCTGAAATATGTCCCATCTAGACCTTACTACTAGTTTACATAAATTCACATTTTCAAGGCTATCTTCATGAGAAAAAGAAAATTGTGCTTCAAAGAAAATTACACTTTGTAGTCTTGGAGGAGAGAGGAAGAACTTGGACAACCTATTTGCTCACTGAGTAAAAATTCAGGTAAAAAAGTGTTCTCTAGCAGTGTAATGATTAACTGAAAGGCCAGATAAAATATATGTTTATAACTTTAATCTAACCACTGTTGTTCAGATATCAAAATTGTTACTCTTGAGTATTTCAGCTTTATAGAAAGTTGTCCTGACCCAGCATAGATGTAGTGTTTGGTTTTTGCTGTGGGGCTTTTGTTGTTTTTTGCTGGTTTCTGATCTAGAGGAGCCAGCAGTTTTAAGAAAATCTCTTTTTAACCACTGATTGTTGAGCTGTGCATTACCAGGATTTTTTCTTTAAAACTCAGCCAGTTTTAGAGCAAAAAGACTGAGGTGACAAGGATAAATGCAGGGGATCAGAAGCTAAGGTGCAAGGGAAAGTGAGAGATCAGACACAGTATCTACTGCTAAGAGAGATGAAAGTTGTATGAGGGACAAATGTGTAGAAAATAAGCTCAGGAGAGTAGATTTTCAAACTGGCAAGCCTTTCTGCTTCTTTCATTACTTCTGCTTAGTAACTTATTTTTGCAGGCTACCGGGAGTGCTGTTTTCTGAATAGGTTATGTATTTGCCCAAAAGGAATGTTTCTTTGAAGCCATTCAGCTAATTGCAAGGAACTTTGAAATAAAAATGTGCTTTAATGGTCAGGGTGTAAGAAATGTGTAACTTAAAAGTTGTTTTCCTTTTTGTACTGCTTATTTTACTTTTTTCCTCCATATAATGTGCAACTACATTTAACCTCCTGCATCCACTGGCTGTCTGGGGAAGCCAGAAGTGAGATACTTGGAATGTCGTAGTTTCAACACTTTTTTTCCCCTTTCTCTCCTACTCCTCTAAAGTGGACATTTATGGTGATTAATTGTGTTCCAGTAGTACACTAGGAAACCATGGTGTTGAGTATTATATAAACATCATGACAGAAGATTCCCCTGTGTCCTGTTTATCCCTGGAAAAAAGTGAGGCACAGGAAGACTGTGACTTGCTCAAGAAAAAAATGAGTCTCTTTCCAAGAGTTCAAAACTGCACTCATCTTTCCTGAGCATTTTTTTTTTTTTTTTTTTTTTTTTAATGAGTCTGGAAGGACATCCAAGTTCTTCCTGTCTGGTGCTAAAACTAATGCAAAGAAATGTAATTATTTACTCCTACACACTTCTGTTTTTCAGGGTGTGTTCTTGTCCTGTTTAATATGAAACTACATGGAAAACAAATAAGAGAATCAAGCCTGTGATTCATTTGAATTTTAGCAGTAAACCAGGAAGCTTTCTGAATTAAAATGCTGAGTTGAACTCTGTATTTCTGCATTTCCTTACCTAGTATAAAGTGCATTAATTGTTGCATTCAGGGGAGTTCATTTTCCATTTCATCTAGGGGAATAAAAGGTACTACATTAACAACCTATAGCAAACCAGTTTTAAAGCAATTTCAAATTTTGCAAAATGTGAAGCTGCTTAGAATTCTACCACTCTGAACAGTCAGTTGAAGAGCCTGGGATAGCTCAAGCATGCATATGGAGTATGCCCAGTCTCAGGGAATCACATAATTCCTGACTGGCTCTGCCTGTGCTCCAGCACTTAAGGATATTTACCTTTAGAGAACTGAGTTTCTTAAGGGTGACCATTCTTTCACTTACCAAGATTAAAGAGTGTGAGTATATGTTGTTTTTCCTGGTGTTTTGATAGAGGCAAACCAAATAAAGGCATGCTAAAATGTCACTGAATCTTCCTATGGAGTTTAAAGTTATTTTCTTTAGAAGGTAGATGTTGCCAGGAATGTTATAGTCATGATATTCTAAGGATGGAGGCAAGATATGATACATAGTGAGACATTTAGACTGGTGAACAAAGATGTCACATTGGCATGTATGGTATGGCTGTGTGTTTGTATAAACTACCTACCAACTCTAATTAACTGGACTCCTGCACAGTTTTTTTTACACTGTATTTAGCTTAAATGCAATGGCTTTTATTTCATACCTGAAGTATTGGTTGTGGGCCTGAAAGTTTGTGTGGTTTTGTTTGGACTGTGTGGAGTTTTGCTTGTTTGTTCCTCTCTTGTCTATAAGTAAAAAGTACTCACATAAATAACATGAAGAGCTCCATAGCAGAATGCTCCTTTCAGTTTTTCCCATTCTATATCTATTTTAAAACCTCTGTTCACTGAAGGGGTAACTACCAAAGCTGGTTATGAAATAACTTTGAATCCTGTCCGCTTTTCTAGTGTTAAAGGTACTTGCTAAGCAGAAGATAGTAAAAAAGTAATGTGGAGTTTTCCAAAAGAAAGAGTGAGAAAACTATTTTATAAGTCCTATATCCACAGTAACCAAGGAGGCCACATCTTTCCAAGTGGCATCAATGCCACTTCAGCAGTCAGTGCCATATTTCAATTTGTGTGCACATCTCTCAGAAAGTAAGTAGTGAGCCACCCTGGCTGAATGAATGTTATATGATCCAGACAGCTCCTACACAATTTGGAAATCTGCTATTTTTAGTTGCTAGAGTTTAATATTAATCTGCATTAGGAACTACATAAACATAAACAAGCTGTCATGAGTGGCTGAGAGTATAGAAATATGTAAGAAAATACCTTTTAGCGAGCAAGTCCAGCAAAACAGTCAGTTGATCCTGAGCTCAAAAGGAAGTAATTCAGGAAGACAAGGTTGATTTACGAGGTGAGGTTATCTCATACAGCAGTCTTTGTAGCACCGGATATTGAAGAAACTTTATCTTGGACATGGCCTTAGCCAGAAATTAAGATGAGATCTTGCACTTGGGGCATTAAAATAAACTTGTAAGTAGCGGAAGTCAGCAGGATCAAAAGGAATATTTTGAGTCTGAAAAGAGGTTAAGATAATATGAAATACTTTGGTAGTGAAAATTAGCGTTGCTTTAAAAAAAAAAGTTTAAAACCCTACTAATGAACCTTGCAAAACTTCAGAAATTTCTAGGGATGGTTGGTTTTACATTGTTTAAAACAGTCAAACAAAAAACCACGCTCATTGTTCAGCAGAATTCAAGCCACACAATTTTTTGCAAAGATCTGACAGAACACTTTGTGTCATTAAATCAGTGGTTGAAGATAACCTGGTTAATATTATTTAAATTTTCCCCAAACTTTGCGCAGAGTTAAGCATTCACAAAATGAGAGACAAAATATTGCCTTTGTTCAAAAACTGAGTGACATGGGGAATAACATTAGTATTAAATGATCAGTTGGTATTTTGGTTAAAAGCTAATGTGGGTGCAGAAGGTATTTCAGGGTACTAGGACCCAGAGTGTCAGTGTATTCATGAGTTGTGTTTCAGGCTACGTGTAAAATGAAACATTGGGTCCAAACATAGTTTGTAGTGTCTGAATCATGGTAGGTAAATGACTGTAGCAGGCAAACTAACATTGATTAATGCAAAGTACTGTGCGTTCGAGAAGAAAACTTGAATTCCTTACACATTTATGCATCCCCTTGGATCTGTCAGCTCAGGGGGAAAAAAAAAAGTTAGCAAATAATTTTCAAAGGCCCAGTGAAGATTTTTTGTTCCTTTCATAACTAAGATGTAAATTATGTTAAACACAGAGGTAAAATGAAGAATAGTAAGGAGATTATTACAATACCCTTGTGTTCATCAATTATGTAGTCTTCTAATGAACACTATATGGATCCAGTGAAGTATGAATGATCAAAAACCTAAAAAACCCTCCATTAAGGTAAATAAAAGGGGGAAATGGAATGGCTTATGCCAGAGAGAACGTGAAGACATCTGTACAACCTATTACGTACATGAGGCAATGAATTGTAAATAAAAACTTTAAAAAGTAAAGCAGATAGTTTTCCACCTGACTAGTTCTTAAAGAAACAAAGGGATATTAAATGATACCAAGGTCTGAAATTCAGGACTGAGAAAAGAGAGTTTACTTTAGTGTGCATCTCATTGAAACACAAGGTATTAAGACAAAAAGATTTAGAGATATTAGAATTTGTATTATTTATAATCCTTCCATAAGTGAGATATGTTTTTAACTGTGCTTAATGTTGTTGAGAAAATAATATTGGTGCTGGAGGGCTGGCAGGAGGGAGGTGTTGTAATTTAGAGATCTTTTTGTAATTTAGAGAGCTAGCAAAGTTTTATGTGCCATTTTTATTGCTAACTTCTGGTGGGTTGTTCTTTGTGGGAGTTTTAAACCTGCCCACAGTCATATATTTTTCTAGATCTGGTAACATGATCTATTTTGATCTAAGTTTCTTCTCAAAGGACTGCATCAGTTGTTCTTACATTGCTTCACACTGCTCTGTGTAGGGACTTCTGTGTAGCTGAGAAGTTAGTGACATCTCATGGCAACCGTGGAAAATTACAGGTGACTTGAGAGAAAGGTTTTGGCCTTAACAGGCGTTGCAAATGTTTTCTAGGTCAAATTTCTTTTTTAATATTTCTGTACATCCCTTTCACATTTAATTCTCCAGTGCTTGTGATTTATCTAGAGACTAATGCAACTGTTTCTAAGCCTGAAATACTGGTATTTGTCAGTGAGCATCTGAAGCCCAAAAGTTGTAGTGTGTAGTATCTGTATATTTGTCACCTACGAAACAATTATATAATGTTATTGTCTCTCCTGTTTTTATTTGTTTTAGGTACAAAGTCAGTTACAGAGTATGCTAATGGTGGTTACGATATTGTGTCACCTGCTCCATCAGTGTACTTGGGCACATTTCAAATTCTGCATCTCCTGGAAGATCTAAAGATGGCTTTGGAAATGCTGGAGGATCCTCAGGAGAAAGAGGCATTGAGAAATCAAATTCCAGGGGCCACAGCAGTGTGTCTGCGGGCGTGGTTTGAAGAGAATCTGGTGAGTAGCTATTTGAGCTTTTCCCTTTTGTTTGCAATGGAAACAATGGATTGGTTCAAGTATTTTCATATTACTGCTTTATGTGCTGATTACCAGAGCAATGCAGATGAGAAGTTGATAAAATACCTTATTTTGTCCCTGGTGAGAGAAAGGATGGTAAAAATTAACTACAACAAAGGTTGCCTTTTTCGTGGATTGTTTTTGGTTTGGTTTACTTTGGTTCATTCTTTGCTGGAGATAACAAATTTATAAATAGTTAGAAAACTTTAAATTTTTAAAGTATCAATTTGGAATGCAGTGTCATTGTCTGTTGAAGGAACAAATTCAGACTGGATGATTCTTCTGTCCTTTCCTTTCACTATCCATATTACAAACCTCCAGAGTATCTTGTACACCAGGCAGAGGTAGTAAATCCAGGAAAACTCTTGATTCTGCAGGTGAGACACTCATATTGGGATAGATGGGCAATAAACCTTTGGCTGTACTGGGAAAGACTGCCACAACACCAAGCCTGACACTGCTAGTGAATGGTGGTGTTCCTCAGGTGTAAAAGCTACTTGTCACTGTCTCAAAATGAGAAAAGTTTTCTAGGTGAATGGATTTTCTTCTGATTTTGTCAATGGATGTGACCTTTTATGTAATTTGTCCTCTGGCTTATGTTTTAGTGTTTACCTTCTGCTGTAGCTACCGTGTGTCAGTTGTAACCTGATGTTGTTGGAAATGTAGTTGCTTTTGTTTGGACTTGTCAGCTGCTGGTTTGTTGGCATTCTTCACAGAGTGCAGGTCTGTGGCTGGAAAATCCTGTTTGGGTCCATATGAGAGAAAGGAATGAGAATTTGGTACCAGGTTTGAAAACAAAAGGTGTAGGCAATGTTTGATTTGGATTTATAGTATTAGCTTTTGTATTTAGATATCCCTAGGCCAGCTCTTACTGAATTCCTGCCTTAGCAGAAATGTTTATGTGTATTCAAGTTATTGCAATGTTTTAGTGCATAAAAAACATAAATTTTCAGAGTTGTTCACAATAAAGTTAGCCCTAGACCACCAAGTTGAAGAGTTTGAATCTGGTAATCTGGCTTTTGGTCTTCTGGTGCAGAAATATTGAGCTCACTTTGCAGTCCTGCAACATAAGTACCCTTTGATGCTTTGACTTCTCATATTAACTATATATGTGTGTCTCTTCTATTTCATGGATAACCAACCAAAACAGAAGCCACACACTTCTGCCTTTTAGACTTGCAGTTTACTGATGTCCTAAAAGCCTTTCCTACTGCATCAAGAGCAGTATTTGTTTGGTAAAGCAACTGGGGAGTCTGGATTCAGAGCCAACAGAACAGGGGAAGTTGATGGCATAAAGTATATCTAGTGCACTATGTTGAGATCACTGTTTTTAAAATATTTTGCCATGTTCCCTGTCAAGGGAGGGTAGGGCACAGCTGCTGTGTCTGCTATTTGAAAATGGATAGTAATCTGTGTATTTGTAGAGCTTTCTCATATTTTTTTAAGTGCAAATAATTTGTAAGCGTGCACATAACTTCCGTGACCTTTGAATTTGGGAGAACTTTCTCCACTGACAAGCTGCAGTTCCACTTGGAAATTGGGAAGAAATCTGATAAAATTTAAGTCAGTTCAGTGAAATGGAATATGTATTTCGTAGTTATGTCCCATGCTGAAATTTCTTTCATTCCAGCCCAGAGCTATGAAACATGACACTTAAATATGTGGATAAGGACTGTTGAGGTACTAAGCTATAGAGAATGAGAACTCTGTCTCCATGAATCCATTCACATTGGAAGCCTCCAATGAAGTTTGGTAATCATTACTCTGTGAAATGCAGAAGTGGCATTAAGTAAACCTCACTCAATTGCCATGGTTTAAACACATCAGGATGGAAACAGTTTGCTGAGTTATTAAAACATAATTAATTAGAGATCAGGAAACTATATCTTTAGAACCAACATCAGCAATACATTAGATAAACCATGATACTAGATGCTTAAGAAATGTTAAGGAACACCTACAAATTTCTAAATGAAGCCCTAAAACTAATTCCAAAAAGTTAAAATGCCACAGACATGTGCACACACATTCACAGTTACACGTTTCCTCTCTCACAGCTGGTGTTGGTTACAAGCCTAAACAGCCTCTTCTGTGGATGTGGGTTCCCCTGTTTTACACACATCCCCTCACACACGTGGTTGCTTTAGCTTTTGTGTGTTCCCGTGGAGTACTGATGCCTTTGAGCTTTTTTTTTTTAGAGCTATTGCAGGTTGGAGAGGGACTTTTTTTTTTTTGTGGATGATTAATTCCACGTCTGTTTTCTTTGGAGGTCCATGCACCTTCCTTTGAAGCTGGAGGGCTGCTCTAGCATGTAACTGAATAGCTTTAGAGACTACAGCAATTGCTTTGTTTCTAACATTTTGCATAAATAGGTGTCAAAAATATTTCCAGCTCATACTGGTTAGGCATGCAGTGGAAACTAAAGAGAAAAAAAGCAATCCGATGTTTATTTTTAAAAGCAGATAAGCATGCTTCATTCAAGAAGAGAGTGTTATTTTATGATTCTTCTTCACTTAAATGTGTAATTAAATATAGTATTAAAAAAATTGTTGCAACTGCCATTGTTAATGAAGAATACAAACGATGTGCCTTATGGAAATAATTTGAGTATGTGTTTTGCTACTGCCCCATATTGCTTTTATGGGAAACCACAGAAAGGGAAGTCAGAAAGATGAACTGAGACTCATTCCTGCTGGATAGTATCAAACAGCATTTAACAGCACTTGAGTTTGAGCAGAATATGGAATTACTGATCAGTCAGGAAGTTTCTGTGATGATTATGGATGCTAGAGCTGATCTCACCTTCGTTCAGTTCCATAGCAGCAAGCTATGGAATTTATCAGACATGAAATATCACCAAGTTATGTTTGGTGGTTTGATCAATTGGATTATTTTTTTTTTTTTTAACTCATGGTAACTGTTATGCTCTTTGGTCTGCCTGCTCTAGGTGTGAATACCAAATCTGTGGGAAAATTCAGATATTTGACATCATGTTTCATACCTGATACTGCCTTGTTTACTTGCCCTTTTGAGAACATCTCCTTTATTCTTTTTCTTGAACCATTAGTGATTTATTTTTCTCTAAGGAAGAGGCACACCATTTGTGGAACTGGAGGTGTGCTTTTTGGAAAGGCTCCTTTGGATCTATGAACATATCAGGTTCCTGAGTTTGCAGTATAACTGGGCACAGTAATTGTGCTGTCGCTGCTCTGAGAGAGATGAAACAGGTTTGACAAAGTTAACACTGAATTTAGAAAGGTTATTACTGTGTACCATAGAATGAGGATTTTATAGATGCTGCGGTTGCACAAATCTTTTGACAAACCTAAATAAAAAATTATTAATGATAGACTTTTAACTACTTAAGAATTGTATTAAAAAATTCTGCCTCAAAGAATGTGTCTAAAGTGTTTTACATGGCTTTAAGATTGTAAATTTTTTGGCCTTAAAAAGAGAACAAAAAGACCTGGGGATTAGCATGCACAGTTCGTCTAAAACAAACTTGTGGATGGTATCAATGCTTCTTGTTAAATATTTTAGTATTGCCAGTGACCACGTGACATATCACAAAGCAGATAGTCATTTCAGCATTAAAAATTAATTGCTGCAGTAACAACTGACTGTGTTTGGCTCTGTGAGCTACGAGAGAATATATTTGTTTACAGTTTCATAACTCTAACTGAACTTCTACGCTGTTTAATTCTGGTTTTTTATTCCAAACATCTTTATGGAACTCTTTTCTGAGTAAAGAGGAACACTACTGTTCTTATAATGGTCCTTGAGCATGAGTGAAGGCCTCATTTTCAGGATTACAGAACACAATCTTCCTCCTAGTGGAATGTCTGTGTTTAAAGTACCACTTCATGATGTAGTTTTATTTACTGACCCTTAAAGTGTTGATTTTTGAAAACCCATTAGTATTTTCCTCGTTACAGGGTTAGTGGTTTTTTTCTGTTTCTTGGAAGCCTAAGTCTGAAAATCTTTCTAAATATTCTAAATTTGAGGAAACAGAAAGGGGAGAAGAGCATAGGAAATAGTAGAGGAATGTCTGTTAGAGGCATTTTAAAATATAATTTGATTTACCTTATGATATATGTTGTGCCTTGTTTATTTTCATGATCTGTTTTATTGGTAAAACCAGAGGCTTTTTAGCAGAAACAGGATGAATTCCTTAGAGTCTTGACTGCTATTTGGTCATGATTAAAGTTCAAAAGACATTGTTTACACTTTGTGTTAAAATCAAGGAATTTTTTGTCTCCAGTGTCTTCACAGGGACTTGGATTAAAAGAGTAAACCCCAGTTCAGAATTCTGACTTGGTGGAGTTTGTGAAGTTTTGAACTTACTTCAAAGTTTTATTTTAAGCATGTGTTGAAGTGCTCTGCTGAAACATAATCACTGGTCTCTCTATTTCACTTTTGTCTGAGATTCATTTCACAGAGTTATCTGTCCAGAGCAAGAGACAGAAAACGACTGCACTTCAGGGCACTTCCATGTACTTGAAAACGTGCTTTTATAAAAGTATCAATAGCATTTTTCAGCAACAGCTGAGTGGGAATCTTAGCAGTGCCAATTAAAGCCAGTATATTTGTCTGCTGGTAGATTTGGCTGTGGAACTCAACTGTTGAGAGCCATGATGGAACTATATATAGCTGAATCTTCCCGTTGCCAAGTGGTATTAACACATGTTAAATTGAAAATGGAGCAGTAGAGCCTGCTTGGGATAGTGTAGAAAAGCCGTCATTCTGAAAGCATTCGTGTTTATTTTTGCCAGCTCGAAACATTAGATGGGTTATGTTTTCTGAGGAGGAGTCAGAGTTCAAAGTTGTATGACCCAGTCTTCCAGTTCCTTTTCAATGAGTTGATGATGCAAGGAAGCCCTGAACTGGAAGATTTGGTTGCCTCAGAGTTCCCCAAGCATGTTAGAGCAATTCATGGTACA